TATTTCACTGATTCTATGCCACTGCAAGAGTCAGATACTGAATGTGAAGAGGCTTTAGGAATGCCTTACTAAATACATTTAACATATATTTTCTGATATATTGGTATGTGTATGTACATGTATAAAATAGTCAGGAGTAGTATATGATTAAAATAATCTATGATTAAGTACGAAAAAAGCTCTTTTACTAATTATAAAAGTTCTATATATTAAGAAAGAGTTGTGTCATTTTAATGGGTAGCATTTCTTCTTTGTGGATTATAAAATAATAGAACTTTACAACTGAAAATATCTTAGATTAAATGATTTTATGGTGTATGTCAATGTGTAAATGGCTTGCTTTGAAACTTCCATCTTGACTCATACTTCATCTGAAACTAGGGCCACTGTTTGAGGAAAAAACTATTGTATTAGGTCAGAATTCACTCTCTACAATTTGACCTACAAAAATAAAATGATTTTTAGCTAGTTATGTAGTCAAGAAATGAAATGACGTATTGCATCGGGGAAATCTGCTACAAAAGACCTCTTGCAAGTGTTAAAAAGCAGAGATGTCACCTTGAAGACTAAGGAGCATCTGACCCAAGCTATGGTATTTTCAATCACCTCATATACATGTGAAAGCTGGTCAATGAATAAGGAAGACTGAAGAAGAATTGATGCCTTTGAATTATGGTGTTGGTGAAGAATGCTGAATATATCATAGATTGCCAGGAAAATGAACAAGTCTGTCTTGGAAGAAGTACAGCCAGAGTACTCCTTAGAAAGAAGCAACAAGGATGGTGAGACTTAGTCTCATGTACTTTGTACATATTATCAGGAGGGACCAGTCCCTGGAGAAGGACATTATGCTTGATAAAGTAGAGGGTCAGCGACAAAGAGGAAGACACTCAAACAGATGGATTGACACAGTGGCTGCAACAATGGGCTCAAACATAGCAACAGTTTTGAGGATGGCGTGGGACTGGGCAGTGTTTCGTTCTGTTGCATATAGGGTTGCTGTGAGTCAGAACCCACTCAACGGCACATAACCATAACAAATGTAACTTATAAATTTGCTAAGTTCTGTTGCACTCAGT